TACCACAAACACCAGGAAATGGTATTTTGAGATGTTTTATGGTTCAGTTCTGAAGTTTCTAATTAATGTATGCAGTACGAGTTTAGGAAAAGGGGATACCATTAAGGACTAGTGATCAAGAAAAACTTAATTGGAAATTGATTTTTGGAGAAGCAGTAAGATTTCAAAAGATGAAGATTTCAGGTAACAGGAATGGCATTGATTTGAACTTGAGCTGAATCTCTTATTGTTGCCTAGTTTAAATGGGTATGAAATCCTCATATATGAAAGCTCCAGATGGTATGTTATTTCTTTAATCCCTGGATAGAGTGAACAATATCACAGGAGGAAAAAGGGCAAATGAAAGGAATAAATATGGCACTTGAAATATTAACAGAATGCCGTACTCATATAAGACACTGTTTCCTCAGGGTCTGAGTTGGGCACTTGGTCCCCTGTTACCTTGCCTGGCATTTTATGTGCAGTTTTTATAGTGACATCAACTGTTCATCTTCCTTCCTAGTAGAATATAAAGCAAATTTACGGATGCAAGTGCGTGCTCCATTTAAAAATCCAATCTTAAAGGCAATATTTTCTGTAGCTATAAAGGCTTTTAAAAAAGAGTACAGTGTCTCCTCATCTGCTGATTTAAAGCACACCCAGTGATTTTTGCGGAGGAGAGGTGCACTGGGGTGAGGACCGCCCGCAGCCTGAGTGCAGTGAGCAGCTGCGGTGGATTTGTCACGTAACTTTTCACATTAAGTTCATTACTGACAAGTCAACATATCTTAGCTTTTCAGGTGAAAATTTCCTGGTTGTAAAACAGTGCCCAACAGCAGCCGGCCTTTGATATGCTCAGGATCCTTGTACTGTTCCAAGGATCCTTCTTGTTTTATGTTATTCACAGCCTACCTCATGACACCCTTCCTTATCTGAAGGGTAAAAATAATTCTGTTTACGTACTTTTCTGACTATAGTCATTGATTGACAATTCATTTTTCTTAAGTTAAATGTAGATACATACCTGATTTATTTGTCTGTTCTTTATTTTTTAACTTACATGTTACTTTCTAGAAGGTGGAAGTTGGTGTAATTTTTTAAATTGTAAATTAAAAATGATTACATGCCCAACATATTTGGAGCTTTAATCCTGTCTTCCTTATAATGCACACATAAGAAATTAAGAGATACTTAAGGAGGAAGAGAACTGACATTTTTAAGAGCCTACTTTGTATGAGGTGCTTTATTTATATGATTACATTTTTTGATGACAAGAACAATGTGAAATAAATATTACCTTAAAAAGACAAACTAGATAATGAAACTAAGACCTAGAGAGAGAGATTAAGTAACACCTGGCTTGAATGTATTTAGTCACATAAAGGGTTCAGAGATGACAACTCTTATCAAGTACTGTTTAATCAGCACCCACAAAAATCTCGTGGCGACTCATGGCCAAGTGTTAGACGCAGTAGGTTAATAGCAAACTTCCACTGTTCTTGAGGGGGCTCTTATGTAACAGTGACATATTCTAGCAGAGGGGCAAGCGTGCAGGTGGCAGCCAGGTTATGTGATAGGACTGTATGGTGTAATGTTGGGTCAGTCACCTAACCACCCTGAGACTATAGAGTTCGGTCATTCTTGGGGTGAGAGAGTTAGAAGGAGGGTTCTTTAAAGTTTGTTCTTCTAAAATTCAATGATTTGCCCATCATCAGCTGGTAATTTCTTGAAACATTAAGTCTGTTGGGAATCAATAATAATAATAAGTATTATTATTATTGACCACTTGTTGAGCACATGTGCGCTGTGCACTTTACATCCATATGGTTGATCCTCTAATGAGAGCAGTTTATGTCCCTGTCATGGACCCAGTCTTGCCATTCCCACCTAGAACATGAATGTGTTTCAGAGCGTTTAGATCATCTGAAGCTCAATGCAGAGGATTTGCTAGTATGTGAAGATTTCAGCCTCATTCTTCTAATTATATTGCACAAGTCATAGGAGAAACACTCATTTTTAGAGGTAGAACCATCTGCATATTTAGTATGAATCCTGTGATCTGTGCATTTCTAACAAACTGGACTTGAGGGGCACATGTTTTGTTGATCCCTCTGCAGCTACACACCAAATCATTGCCTTTCTATTTTTTCTCCCTGTATCTTTATGCTAATCTAAAAGCATTTGTTATATTTTGAGTAAAGTTAAATGGGACCCAAGGCCATGGCTGGGGGAAGGACCTCTAACCCTTGGAATTTAGGAAAGAGATAGAGGCATTCTTTGGGGTTGGAAGTAATACATAATCAAGCATATGCTAATGAAAAAATGAAATGTAGGGAGAGAGAAAAGAGACTAGGGTGTCTCTTTCAAAGTTTTGTAGAGGAGAGTACATTGCCCCTTGATTACAATAATGTTTCTGCTCTATAATAAGGTCTTTCACTGCAAGTGCAGCTTTTTCATTCATTTGTTTTGTGCTCGGCTTCCTGTTGCTAATTGTCAGCACAATGGTCTTCCAACTATGAAGTCTCAGTGTCCTTTTGGACCAATTTGTCATTGTCTTTCTCCCTCACCCCCCAACCCATGCACCCAGAATCTATTACTATGGTTGCATTTTTAGACATTTTCTATGTTTTAAAGTGGCAGTGCTTTTGAAATATGCCAGAATAGTTCATGATAATTGAACCAGCCAGCCAGCAACAGTTTTTGCTTCCAAAAGCGCACTAGGAAGGTTTCTCTCTCTAGAGGATACTCTGAGAAAGGAATTAAAAATAAACGTATAATATACCCTCTTTATAGAATTATCTCGTATGTGGTATTTCCTTTGAGAGCTTCACAATAGGCCCGTGGAAGGAGGACACTTTATTGAAATATTTTTGTTAGCCTGTATTATTGAGAGATCGACTGTTTACTTTGTAAATTCTTGGGAAATCTATGCCTTTAGGAAGTTCCATTTTCCCTACTAGTGGTTATTCTTATAGTTTTATCGTGACTAAAGAATCAGTGTGTTCTCTTAGATTGACAAGCCTAAGCGAGTTCTCTATCAGCCTTCAGACATCCGCTGTCACATGCTAATTCATGGCAGCCTTTTCGCAGCTTGGCCAATAAATACTTGCCGTGCACTCTCAACCTTGTACCCAGGGTCTCATTGGCAGAAAGATAGTCTTCAAATGTAATTCCTATAAATAAATCTGGAAACTGTCATTCCTTAACAGCTCCTCTGTCACCTAGAACTTCCCCTATCTTATAATCATATAATCAAAGTGTATCGTTTTTAAATGTAATATTCTCACAATAGGTGGCAGTTCGTATTAGTGCATGAATATTAAACAAGAAGCTTCGTCAATTTTCTTTGGGGGAAAACTATTCCAATACTCTATATGTCACTTGTTTCTATCAATTTAATTGCAAAAACCTAGAAAGAGAAGTATATGAAGCTTGTTATAAAGAAATAAACCTGTACTTCCTCTCTCGTAAGCAGCTAACTCTCCTAAAACAGCACGTGACACACTTAAGAAGAGACAAGAATTTAGAGCCAGGAAACCTGGATTAGAGATTCAGTTTTATAACTTTAACGACTTGATGATTTTGAACAAGTGACTTAAAAATCAGACAGCTTCTATTTCCTTATTTGTGAAAGAGAAACAATGGAAATACAGTAGAACTTTATTGGGAGGGTTAGTGAGAAATAATGCACATAAAATCTTAATGTTCTGGAGGAGCAACTGGTAATATGTTCAAATAATGACTTATTTGTAATTATTTCAGAAGAATAAATTTTGGGAGAAAAGTAATGGAAAGGAAAGTTTCTCTACTGACCTAAATTGGCAAAAGATTAAAGATTTTTTTATATTGTACTAATTATGAATGGGCTGATTATTCCAAAATACGTTCTTCATTGAGCTTGTGATGCATCAGTTAAACTAGATTTTAAAGTGAAGTGTTTTGTGCTAAAGACCCAGAGACCTCTTTAGAGCTACGGTTGAAATCTTTTAAATTAGGAAAGTTTATTTGGAGTCAGAATTCCTAAGTGGAAAGAGAGACATCCTTATCTTTTTAAAATTTTAAGAAATGAGAGTGTTTTCTAGATAGGTCAGATTCTAATGATAACGCTTTGGTTATCTTTATATATGTTTTTAATGAAATTATTAGGATTGTTTGTTTACAGTCTCCTAAAGCTCAGGGTTTTTTTGGTAATTGTTATTATTGTTATTTTTGCAGTTGTGTGCTTTGCTTTGAATGGACAGGCCTACCTTTTTATTTTTCTCCAAGGGAAATGTTGTGTAACTATTCTGTGAATCTTAATTCTACCAGTTTTCCAAGGAAAAGAAAGATACCTCTTAAGTTAGAGCTGTAGCTCTGTAAATCAAGAATTTGATTAGGCTTTTAATTTTTTTCAAATTAATGTTACTAGGATTTAGGATTTAGTTATACATAAATATCTATATCTACCTATATATGCCTAATTGCATGTGTTCCTCATAACAGTATTTAATACTAATGTTCTCAGAGGTAGTTTAACTGGACAATTTAGATTTTGAAGAAATAAGTATTTTAGGTTATAGGGGGACAGAGATTATAAAGTAAATTTTATTTCCAAAGGACTGTGAATTTTTAAATACTGAGATTATTTTACAAGAAAAAGAGAATTAGTTGTGATAAACACTGTTGCATTAGAGATGTTTCCTGAAGCTTTTTTTCTTTGTATTTATGGTAAGAAATAAAAGCTGAAAAAGATTCATGTTGCTAATGAATAGCTTCAAAAGTCAGTCTAAGATATTGCAACTTTGTTCTGGAGAGAGCGGTATGTTTCTGAGAAGGAGAGCGACCTGTGGAATGTGAGTTTGAGTGGCAGACCAGGCTGGCAGTAGGCAAGGCGCTCGGCCGGGGTCACGGTGCGGACCGCCCTGCGTGGAGAACCGCTGAATGCCGTCAATCCCGGTGATTTAGTTTGGAGTAGAGCTCAACTGTTTATTTCATGCTTTAAATATAAGCATATTCAAAGAGACATTTTATTCTATTACTAGAATGCCAGTTAATGAAAACAGAACGACCAAAGCCAAACACATTTATTATCAGATGTCTCCAGTGGACCACTGTCATAGAGAGAACATTTCACGTAGACACGCCAGAGGAAAGGTAAGAAAGTCATTTTTTGTCCATTTTGTGAAAAAGCAACAGTCGATCTAAAAATCTGTGTGTCTGATCTCACCATTTGTAAATAAATGTAAACATGTTTGTAAAATGCTCTAGTCCCTTTAGTTATTATTATTCTGGTATAATAGACGAATAACTTGCAAAATACTAAATCAAAATTTTAGAAGTTCTGTAGGAGTATATTTTAAGATATACTTAAGAGAAAACATTAGAAAGTTAAATATAGTCCTGGCTGGTGTGACTCAGTGGATTGAGCGCCGGCTTGTGAACCAAAGGGTCGCTGGTATGATTCCCAGTCAGGGCACATGCCTGGCTTGCGGGCCAGGTCCCTGGTGGGAGATGCTTGAAAGGCAACCACACATTGATGTTTCTCTCGTCTTTTTCTCCCTCCCTTCCCCTCTGTCTAAAAATAAATAAAACCTTTCTAGAAAAAAGTAGTATGAACATTTTTTTAAAAAAAGAAAATTAAAATATAAATGAAAGAAGACATTTTTATAAGCAAACCACCTCTTTAAAAGAACGTGTAGCATTCATTGTGTTTGTGTGTGGAGCTCTGAGGCTAGGGGAGGCTCAGCGTGCCAGGTGGCACGCCGCTGTGCGGTGGCTGCCCGGGGTCTTGTTGAGAAGGATGCAGAGGCTGGGTCAACGAGAAAAAAGCAGAACCAGGACTGATTGGCACTGGCTGTCATCGTTGCTGAAGAGGATTGGCAGCGCATTTCTAACCAGCTCACCAGCCTTCGTTAGGACCACCTTTTCATTGTCCTGATCTTGTACTAATTCCTGGAAAGCCACCTGCCCCCAATTCTGTTTAATACCCTTTTATCTGGTTGCTCTGATACTTAGTTAGGTCCGACAATCACCACCACAAATTCATTTTCCTGCACATATGTTACCATATTTGATTAAAAAAAAGACGACTCCAAGAAGTTAAATGTTTTTAGCCTATTATTTCAAGGGAAATAATATTATTAGAAGAAATAAATTGACTCTAAAAACTAGTGTGAGGCAAAAGAAAAACTTCCCACCAAAACCTAGTAAATAATAAATATTATTTTAATAATACTTTTTGGTCAATAACCAATAAATGGTAATGTATGATTACTTCAGAAAACTTAGAAAAGAAAGAAAAAGAACTAGAAATTACTCAAAATTCTGACTCTATAACCAGAGTTAAGGACTGACAAATTTTTTTACACTCTTCCTATCATATTTTTGAGGTGTATTTATGTCTTCAGTACACATGCAATTTTATGTCCTCCCTCAGTATCCTCTCCCGGTGGTTTTATATGCTGAGTCCTTAGTTTGCTTGTACCTTAACCCATAACTATGGTTGGGCTAATTCCTGTGGATATAGCAGATCTGAACTTAAAATGTCCCATTTCCTACAAAACCTCTGACTCTTACAAACTATATACTTACCTATCTCCTTGAACCTTTTGTATCAAGTAGATCACTACTGTAATCTTTGTTTGCCTTGTTCATTAGACCCTAAGATTCTTGATTGGCGAGGATGATGTCTTCCTTGCTCATTATTTTATTGTTAGCACACACTCCATGGTCTGACACAGTATCCATTGACTTGTTGAATGAATGGAGCTTTTCCCATGGCATTATATATTCTTTGAATATAGTAGTCGTCCTGGATTTATAACATCCCATGTAACGTGATTCATTTTGCCTTGTGTCTGCAGGGCTGGACTTAAGCCATATCTTAAGACTCAAAGTCTCATAGTTTGCTGTTCCTACAATAATATCACACTACTTTTCCAGATAACCAGTTTTCACTTGCATTTATGACTAGAAGAAAGCTGTTCTAGTGAAAATGAAAAACAGCATATTTATATTCGCATTAGAGTTTGTTTTTCTAAATTCACCTGCAATTTGGTATTTGATATTTTATATAACTTTAATGTTAATGAAGACTTAATGTATTGAGAAAAATTATCTATCTTCTATATTCAATCTTCCAGTAAAAAATCCTAGCCATTGTAAACTAAATGTATATCTCTAATCTATCTTTAAAAATCTTGTATTTATCTCATTATATCGTACAAGTTTAGTATCTATTTTTCCCAAGAGATGAGCCTGCTGTCTCACCTCCATTTATTGAATAATCCATTCTTTTCTGACTGATTATGGGCATCATGTATATGTGTGCATAAATACTTATATTTTTGGATTCTTTTTATCATTCTAGCACTAGAACCACATGGTTTTAATTAAAGAAGCCCAATAAAACTTCGAGCTTTTAATAAGGCAAGCCTGCCATTATTGCTATTTTTTCAAAATGTTCTTAGTTTTTCTAGACCATGTTTTTAAAATTGTGATTTAAAAGCACATAACATGAAATCTACCAAATTTTGAAGTGTACAGTACAGGACTGTTAACTGTATCTACAAAACTACACAGTGGGTCTCTAGAACTTTTTCATATTGCATGACTGATGGTCTTCACCCATTGAATGGCAATTCCCTGTTTCCCTCTCTCCTGGCCCCTGGCTTCCATCGTTCGTCTTTCTGCTTCTATGAGGGTGACCACTTGTGATATCTCATATATACCTCACATGTATCTCTTACAAATACACTATTTGTACTTCTGTGACTGGCTTATTTCACTCAGAATAACGTCCTCAAAGTTCATCCATTTTGTAGCACATAACATGATTTTCTTCTTTTAAGACCTATAAGAGTCCATCCTGTGTTTACCCCATGTTTTCTTTACTCATTCCTCTGCCTGTAGACATTTAGGTTTTTTTCATCTCTTGGCCATTTTGAATAGTTCTGTAGTGAACATAGGAGTGCAAATACCTTGTTGAGATCCTGATTTCATTTCATTTTGGCTAAATACCCAGACGTGGGGTTGCTGGGTCTTATGGTAGTTCTATTTCTAATATTTCCGAGGAACTTCCACAGTGTTTTCCATAGTAAATTAAACCCAAGACAACAGAGAGAAGGAAACAATAGAGATCAGAAATCCATGAACTTGAAAACAGAAAAATAATAGGGAAGAATCAATAAAACAAAATTAGTCCTTTGAAATAAAATTAATAGAATAAAAACATTTTGGAAGGTTGTTAAAGAAAATAAAAAAGAAGACACAATTTAGCAAGACTGACCCAAGAAAAAATAGAAAACTCGAACAATCTAATATTAGTAAACAAAATTGAATTAGTAACTAAAACATTTTTTTCAAAGAAAACTCCCAAGTCCAGATGGCTTCATTGGTGTATTCTATTAAACGCCAGTCCTACAGAATCTATGTCAGAAAGTAATGGAAAGGAGAACACTTTCTAACTCATTTTATGAGGCCACTGTCACCCTCGCCCCAGAAACCAGGCAAAGCTGTCATGAGATGTGTAGCCCAATATACTCGTGAGCACAGCCCCCAAATTTCTTAACAAAATTTTGACAAATAGAATTACAAAATATGTAAAAAGGACAATACACCACGTTAGTCCCAAGAATTTAGTTCCATTAACATCTGAAAATCATTCACCTAAATTCTCTCTATTAATAGGATAAAGGAAAAACACTGCATGATCATTTCAACAGATGTAGAAAAAATATTTGACAAAATTCAACACCCTTTTATAACAAAAACTCTGTTGCATAGAAAGAAAAGGGAATTTATTCAACTTAAGGGTAGTAACAAGAAAAGTCTTACAGTTTATGCAATATTAAAGGTCAATAGAACAAAGTAAGAATGTCTGCTCTCACCACTTTTATTTAACATTGTACTGATGATCTGTCAGATTTAGGATCCTATAAGGCAAGAAAAAGAAACAAACGGTAAATGTATTAGAAAGGAGAAGTAAAACATGCCTTTCCTTGCAGACAACGTGGTTGCATATGGAGAAAACTCAGAAAAATAAAAGCTACTAAAACTAAGAAATGAATTCAGTAAGTCTGCAAAATAAAAGGTCAACATGCAATAACAACTATATTCCTAAATACTAGCAAGAAAAATTAAAAATCAAAATGTAAAGACCCTCCACAATAAAAGAATACCTAGAAATAAATCGAATTAAAGATGTGCAAGACCCTGTCACAGAAAATTACAAAACATTGCCCTGAGAAGTAAAAAGACCAACACAAATGCAAAACTATACCATGTCCATGGATTGCAAGACTTAATTTATTAATATGGCAGTTTCTACCAAATTGATCTATAGACAATGCAATTCCATTGACATGCTAATGGACTTGAAGAAATCAAAAAGCTGATTTTAAAATTTATATGGAAATAAATGATGCTTGATCTGATGAGACAACTGTCAGAAAATAAAAGCTGTGCAGTGGTGCTCAAGAAACTTATTATTTAAGCCACAATTTAAGCCTATCATTTTAAAAAAAGAAACAATAAAGATTAAATTAAAAAATAAAACTGTAAGAGAAAAACATGTTGAAAATCATGAAAAAATGTATTCAATCTTTTCCTCAAATGTAATTCTTCCAGTTTGAAATATTAAACATTATTTTCTAGGGAAATAAAAGTTATCTATGATCTGGGATCAGTGAAAGGCTTTGGCTTTGAACACCTTTTCTTAGAACTTTTGTTGGACTACAGTGAAGATCTTGAGTATATCAGGATGGACTTACAGTAGCTAAACAAAACATTAAAAAAGTACAGCAAATGAGGATGGATTTACTTTATAAGTAAGATGTACACAGATAATTAAAATTTACTGTCCTTTTAAAGGATTTTAACTGAATTTTCTTCTAATCCTTTTTTTTCCTTTTCTCACTTAACATACCTCCAAGTAAATGGTCCTATGACTTTAGGCTGTGATGCGAAATGCCTTGGGATTAATTCCACCTTGGAGTAACGGTGGGAGAATGTGTGTGCGTGCGTGTGCGTGTGCGTGTGTGTGTGTGTGTGTTATTCTGGAATAAACTTCTTGTGTGCATTTCATATTTTATAAAAAGAAAATACTTAAATTGTTTACCATCCTCTATTAATGAGAATTTTTCTTGTTTTCACAGGGAAGAATGGACAGAAGCTATTCAGGCTGTGGCGGACAGACTTCAGAGGCAAGAGGAAGAGAGAATGAATTGCAGCCCCACTTCACAAATTGATAATATAGGGGAGGAAGAGATGGATGCTTCTACAACGCATCATAAAAGAAAGGTAGAAAGTAGTAACGTATTCCCGTCCTTAGCACATTCCTGTGTATGGAAGAAATATGCTAAAAACTGTGATTTGGAAAAGAAAAAAAAAAGTCAGCCTGTTATCTAGGTGCAGTTGGTTTTTATTCAGGTGAATCTTAAATACCTGCCGTTGTTTAAACCCAGATCATTGAAGCAGCGTTTCTGAGGGTCAGCCCTCAGCACTGAATGCTGATAGGGCTTGTTACGGGATGGCGGCTGATGTGCCCTCATGCTGCTTTCTGACTTGCATCTTTCCCTTATTGTTTCAAATACCATTTTAGACACTTGGGACTAAAACGTTTTCCCTAATGATTGGGTCCTTTGCCGCTTGGCGCTCCGCGCGCTCCTGCAAGCAGAGGCAGGAAAGACCGCATTGCTCCCCCCACAAGGCCCCAGCCTCTCTCTGGCCAGCAGGAAAGTGAACAGCCTTGGAAATAATAGTTTGTTGTGTTTTTTTTTTTTTATTTTAATGGAATCTCATGAGCCAGTAAGGGAAACAGACTTTTCCTTCCCTTAGTGCTCAGAATAATAAGCGCCAATTTATATATTTATTGTGAATTGTTTTTCATTGCTGTAGAAAATTGAAAAGCGACTTCACTATGAAAAAAATGATATGTTAAGGCGAATCTAAAGATAGAGGTGTTTAAAAATAGATGAACATGACTTTTACCATGTTAGGACATATTTGTTATAATAGATTATAAATTAATCTTCAGGAGGGAAAATGCTGATTTTAAAGGTAATTATCCATCTGTTTTCATATAAGCGCAGTGATTCGGGACTCTTTGGAGTCAGCCTCCCTGGGTTCACATCCTCCTCCTTCTACAGGCTAGACATGTAAACTAGATAAAGTAATGCGGTCACACTTGGAGTCAGTTAATTATCTCTTCCTTCTTTGAAATTTCTATCCTAATTAGAATCCCATTCTGTGTTTGATCCTGGCCAAATGGCCAAGAACACTTTGTGTCTTCCTTGAAGACTTATCCTCTCTTTGTTGATTGAACTGAATTTCTCTTTACTTTTAAGTCGGCTTCCCCTGCCCCTTGCTCCCCAGTCGTTGCAAACAAAAACAACCCAGATTCGCCACATACTCGGGGAGAAGAATGCTGCTTTTCCTAGTGCATGCGCACTTGTACACAGTCACCTCAAAATTTAACCTTGCTTGTGATTTAAAATCAGATCCCAGTTAACCTTATCTTTTGAATTAAAACTATCCCATTTAATAACAAGCTATACCAGCTCTACCCTATTTAATTCTGGGAATTCCTAAAATCTTCTTCATAGCAAAGATTAATAATAAGACACTGTTGAGGTAGAGGTTGAAAGTGGGGAGTTTATAACACCCCAACTAGAAATATTGTTATTGATGGATCAAAGAATTTTGGAAACGAATATGGAAACTTACCAGAAGCATGTAGAATGGAGACAAAAGATGTAAAAATGGAGAAGTATAGTAGAATTTTATTTTTTTCAGTTAAGGCTGATTATAAATGATTATATAAGTGTAGTAAATTTTCCTCTTTTCACAGATTAACATTTGTAAGCATTTATTATAAACTTCTTTATTCTAGGCTCTGAACATTCTATTAGACTATAATATTCTATTATCTCATTTAATCCTCACAAGAATCATCTGAGGTTGGTACTATTATTATCCCATTTTATAGTGGCGTCATCTGACAGTGAGAGAAATTAAGTCATATGAGGACTTCCAGTTACACACTGTACAACTTCAATGTGCAACTTGCTTTTTATTGATTCATATATCTTGAACCCTTATAATCTCTCTTATACTCATAATCAAGTTATACTAGAAACAAAATTATACAAGTATCCATTCTCCTGTGATTGTACTCTTTTACAAATTATTATTTCAAACTGTTGGACTTATGCAATGTTCGGATATTACTTAATTTTATTTATATTAGAGAGCACTCTTGGAAGAATCAGTAGAATTTTAATATTACAGAATAGCAGTAGACAGTGAGGATTCACCGTGTGTGTAGCGGTGGGGAAAATTTCTTAGTCCTTCTGTTCGTTAGTCCCCTCATCTGTGAAGGCGGGTAACAGTGGGACTTCACTCATATGGTTTTGAGGATTAAAATGAGGGACTTCTTGTAAAGTGCTTATTTGCTAAGTGCTCAATGAATATTAGCTGTTATTGTTAGCTAGTATTCTACTTCATCCACACATACTCACCTTTTTAAAGCAGATTCTCTGAGAATTCTCTCGCTAAAACAGCCTCCAAAATGGGAACTTGATAGTATTTTGAATTTTGGGGGTTTTGTTGTCTTATTTGGCCTGTATCTGATTTCAGTTGTTCTTTTTAAATTTCATTTCATTTAAAATTGCATAGCTTAAAATACCTTAAATGACAAAGAGTTCAGAAAAAGAGAGAACATTGTATTACCACCTGTTCTCTAACGATCCTGATACTTTGGTTAAAAATGGGGAAACAACTGTCGTCCCTTCCCTGAGATAAATGGCTCTCGCATCGTATTCTTTATGTGTATCGATTGTCATACAAAGAATCGTAGAAGTTCAGATTACTTTTCCTTTCGGACTGCAAACACGGATATTCTGAAATAAGAACATCCTTCTCGTAACTTACAGAACACATCTCCTTCTCTGTTCACGTTTGAACGTCGAGCGGTAGGACGGAGCGGAGGGCTCCGGACCGGGGTCGCTGGGCTCGGAGCGGGCCTGGCTGCCCCCCGGCCTGCAGCCGCGGCCGGGTCTTCGCTCTGCGGGGCGCCGTCGCGCGGGGTGCGGTCGCCCGGGGAGAGGGAAGGGCGCAGGGTGGTGGAGGGCAGAGCGCAGGCCTCACAACCCGACTGCCGTGCTGGGCTGTGTTTAAACGCACAGATGTATCAAAAGAATTAGCCGGGAGACTTGACTGGGGTACAGATGAAGTGTTGTGGAATCATGCCCCTGAAACCTGTATAATTCTGTTAACCGGTGTCACCCCAGTAAATTCAATGAAAAGGAAAAAGAGATATTCTCAATAGAGTTATAATTTTATGTTTTTTTTTAAATAAAGACTTCGCTGGGGCTGCGAACTACCCGCTGCTGTTCTCTGGGCCCGGTCAGGGTGTAGGGGCACAGCCTTAAGGGACCATCAGCCAGAGGAGAACCAGTGTTGCTTCCTTTGTAAGCGACCCCCCGTCGGCCTCTCGGGGGCCGCTGACTATCGTCTCACGGTTTAGTGTAAAGTGCAGGCCGTACCTCCCATCTTCCCCTGAAGTCTGACTCCAGATCTTGGCATTTTCTTACCTAATTCCTGGCCACAGGAGCTCAAAGCTGGGTAAGCACTGGAGAGTGGGAGAAGAGACGGGGGAGGTGCAGAGATCCCGGCCACTGCCCGCCTGACGCGTGCTGTGGAAATGGGCCGATCGGGTGAGAGCGTTCCCCGCGCCCGAGGAAGAGAACCGGGGGCCACGGGCAGGGAGGTGGGCAGGGAGGCGACCGTCTGGAGGCGCGCCCCGCCCCGCTCCGCCGCCCTGTAACTTCAGTGCCCCGCAGGGCTGTATGTGGGTTAGTCCTTCCACTGTAAACGTCTGTGGGATTTATCTGTTTGGACAAAATTTGCTAAACCTCTGTATTCTTTTCTGAGAGATTCCTTATATTCCTCTTCAATTACATGTTCATATTTTAACCTGATTTTCAAACTAGACATTTAGTCTTTTTCTTATATGCTAGTGTCTATGATTTCAGTACATTTAGTAAGCATTTGTTACGTGTGCATATGTATCTATAAGCCTAACGCAGCCACATCAGTATGTTAAACAGTATGTAAAGGAAAGAGTATAACTATGTAAAATGTTTACTGAATAGATTTTTAGGATTGGGTTTTGAGGGGTTAATTTTTCTGGAGAGTAACCATGCTCTCATTTTTTTATTAAAATCTTACTGTATTTCTTCCCTTAATACCATGCAAAAGAGGAAAACATTTTGTAATAGGTTACATTCCACTTGTAAAGACTAGATAATTATCCTGTACACCACACTGAACGTGAGCATTTGGTATCAAAGAGGCTTTTACAATGTTCTGAAGGTTTGTCAAAATAGATACGAAATCTGTTTCTGATTTTATCACACAGAAGGCTTTTTCCTAATATCAACTTCCATGCAAATCCCTTTTTTTTTTAAGATAGAATCTCTGACAGAGCAGTGGGCTGTCAGACTTTTTAAATCTCTCTCCGTCCTGAAGAATCACAGTCCTAATGGAACATAGTAATATTTCCTGATGACGTATTACTTTTCACCTGAAAATATCATAAAGCAGTTTAAAAATTCTTTTTTGATTTTTACCCCTGAGAATTCAGTTTCAGTTTATATGATATTGAGTAATAGGACAGGGCAAGTATCATTTTCCAATTCTCTTAAACAAAACAATGAGAGGGCTGCTCAAAGGAAGCTTTAAGCAATAAAATGACACAGCCTATTCATGAGAATAATGTCTCTCCTTATTGCCATGGAACAAACTACCCACGTTCGGTGTCTTCAGACAATCACAGCGTGTTATTTTTCACGATTCTGTGGTTTGCTGGGCAGTTCCGCTGCCTTCAACTGTGTCTGTCAGGCAGCTGCATGCAGCACGTGGGCTGGGCTGGAAAATGCATGAAAGCCTCGCTCACGTGTCGGGTCCCTGCTTCCTCTTGCGTGATCTCTCTGTGCATGTGGTGCCTCATCTTCCAGCACCTCTCTGCATGGACTCCCGCTTCCGCAGAACAGCCTGGTCTTCTGCAGCGTGAGCGCTGGCTTTTAAGAATGACAGGCTCCAAGGCTAGGTCTGGGACTGGCACGCTGGCGCTTTGGTCCCACTCGGAGTGCAGAGCAGGACACACCGGCAGCCCAGGGAGAGAGAAGCTTGACTCCACCTCTGTTGGGAAGACTGGCCTGTGTATAGTTGAAAGGTGGAGGCAGGCTTTCGAGACCACTTAGCACAAACAGCTTTGTGGCTCTGTAGCCTTCCTTGATTTTTAAAATGTGTTAATGAAAATGAAATTACCAACTCGCTTTTTAAACTATAGTCTGTATATTTAGTCCCATTTGTGTGATTTTTAGTTGAATTAGTGAATGTGCTTGATTATTTTCCTGATGTCTTTTTGCTATTTTTCTTTTGAACTAGAGATATCACTGAATGGTTCACACATTATGACTTGACATTTGGAAAAAATTATAGGCAGCATATAATGTTGAAAATAAACGTAGGCATTCATTTGTAAAATTTTTACACATATTTACATAAGGAATATTGATTGGTTTGTCATTTTCTTACAATGTTTTTGTCTAGTTTGGTATCAGAGTCATGGTGACCTCATAGAATGAATTGGGAAATGTTCTCTCCTTTTCTATTTTCTGTAGGAGTTTATACAGAATTAGTATTATTTCTTCCTCAAATGTTTATAGAACTCACCAGCAAAACCATCTGGTCCTGGAGTTTTTCTTGACTGATAATTTGAGGAGCTGAGGAATTCTAGGTTCAAAATTATTGTCTCCAATATCTGAGAACTGCTTCAGTGATTTCCAGCACCCACGACTGCTAATGAGACAGCCAGAGATTCTCATTTCAGGGGGTTTAGAAACTGGTAAAATTGGCTTCTGAGTGGATGAGGCCAATGTATACATACATGTTTACAAATAAATTATATCAGATATTTCATAGATTTTTTAATTTGTATTTTTCAGACAATGAATGATTTTGACTATTTGAAACTACTAGGTAAAGGCACTTTTGGGAAAGTTATTTTGGTTCGAGAGAAGGCAAGTGGGAAATACTATGCTATGAAGATTCTGAAGAAAGAAGTTATTATTGCAAAGGTAACTGAAATTTTTGTTTTCACTATACATGTGTGTGTTCATGCATGCACATGATTAATGTAGAAATTCCATTAAATAATCAAAGTATTGATTGTAGGCTACTGCTATAATAATATCTGTATATTGATATTTATAATAGTAACACTTTCAAAGGTTTATAATATTATCTCAGTATTATTTACTGAAGCTATTTTATTCTCTTGAGGAGATGGAAATCTTTATGTCTGCTTGGGAGAATATTTTTACTATGTATTTGTGACCTATATCATTAATTACACTAACGTTGCTTTTTATTTTGTTCCCAACATTCTGAATTTCTTATTAAATAGGAGGGATTAGTATAACAGATGATTTGTACTCAAATTATAGAGCTTATGTGTGTTGAATGGAAAAACACATTAAAAGATTTGAAAATACTAGAGTAACAAAACTAAAAGAAATGATAGTCTTTGAAATTCAGCCTGGAGGCCTTAGCCACCGCCACCACCCCCCGCCCCCTCCCCCCATAACTTCATTCACTTATACAAATAATTAAGACGTTAATGGTCCCAGTCTTCAGGGGTCTAAATTAAATCCCATCTCCCTCAATAGACAGATTTGATATGCTTTATAAATTGGTCCATGCTTTATGTCTTGCTTAATGCAGCAAGTGACATATCATATTATTGTCATACTTTATAGACTGCATTATTCACGACAGCACTTCCTCATCTGGGGTGTCCTGCCGACCCACACCGTGAAGTGACGCCCCCTGTGTCTGGGACATTTGTTTCCGTCTCAGCTGCTTCCCTGTCAGGGTCTGGTGTTGGAAATAACCTTGACCTGGAGTTGCGCAGGCCCAGGTTTCTATCTCAGCTTTGACTCTCTCCACCTGATGACGTCTAACAACCAGGTGTTGGGGGAGTACCAGTCCCTCGGGGACATTTGAGAATATTTGTTGGGGGGCTTATGTGCATGTCAGCATGACTCAGGGAAGGGGAAGATACTGACAGTCACCAGGGAGAGGCGAAGCACGCCCAATAGCCCGCAGCCCTAGAGAGCCTTAGCTTACTCACTTATAAAAATTGTCCTTGTGAGAAACAGTATTCCTGGACAAAAATATGACATTGATTAGGATATGTACAGAACTCAGCATAATACCTGGCTCATATTAGAATTAAATTGATATTTGATATTTTCTGGGAGGCAGTACAGGTATTGTGGGCCCTGCTGCTTAGTAAATGATCCAAACAAATCACTCAACTTTTTGCCATTGTTCCCTCAACTGAAAAATGAGGATATGAATAGCATCCCTCTCATAGATGAGTTGTTGTCAGGATTAAATGAGTGAAAAAATAAATGGTATATAGCCTTTGCCATCATTATTGAATAAATTTAGTTATAGATATAAAATAAAGATAAAATTGTATTAAGTGAAAATAAATGTTATTGTTACATATATTGTCTGTGATTATCATTACCACCTACTGTGTGTCATGCATGACTAAATATCATTTCCGTTCTGCTTTTCCAATTATACACAATGTCTTATCTCACTAATTAATTATACTTTTCTGGGTAACTGCGCAGAGCTGGGTATATTTCATAAATGACAGAGTATTCTGATCACAGTAGATCCTTGCTGCTTTCCCCAAGAAATCCACATATCAATTTCTTGAAGGAAAAGATGCTCATTCACAGCGAAAAGATTAACAATGTGACATTTCGGAGTCTGACAAGACCTGAGGCCTGGATACTAGGGTGCCCGTCTCGACATCATCTCAGGAACAAACGATGCACATGCGCCTTACGACTACTGACGTCGCCTAGTTACGGTAGATGCCCCGCTGCTTGAAGATAGACGGCACTGTTGTGAAGTGGAAATGACCATGAATGTTGGACTCAGGTGTGGGCTCAGTCTTGACTTTCCCAACTGCAGTCTGAGCCGTGGAGCTTCTGAGAAACCTACCTGCTGAGCTGCCACAGGGACGAAAGGAGATGTCACCCTCAGTGGCCCTAATAAGGGAGTACAGGTGTTCTCTTCCTCCACTTCTGTGCCATTTCCTGCCTCTCACCCTCCCCACCAAAGCCCAGTTACCTCACAACAGTCAGACGGGCAATGAAGGGTGAATTTCAGACCATGTATAGTTAGGCGGGCGGGGGGTGATGGATTGGAGAGGATTATGAAAATAAATATGGGAAGGACTGTTCTGTTGTTCACGTTCTCAAGGAAGAAAATCCCATTTTCAATAAAGCTTCATTCTGTGAAAACAATTATATTTTAAAAATCATTATTTAGTATTTCACCACAGATGAACATACAGTCGTGTGCCACTGAATGATGTTTAAACCAGCAGTGGACCGCATATAAGACAGTGGCCCCATAGATGATGTAGGGGCCGAAGAGCTCCCATCACCTAGTGACGTCACAACGTTGTAGCTCAGTGAATCCCTCACGTGTTTGTGGTGCTGCTCGTGCAGACAAACCTATTGCTTGTCAATCCCATAAAAGTACAGCGCATTCAGCTATGTACCATCCGTAATACTTGATAATGAACAACTAAGTGGTTTGTGTATTTACTACTTATCATTATTTTAGAGTGTGCTCTTTGCAGTTAGTCAAAAAGCAAGATTTGCTATAAAACAAATCTTACTATTGGACGTGATCAAAACACACGAGGCTGCTGGGTTTGCCAGCTGTAGCCTCATACCTCTTGTGTTTACCACATCTCTTTAATGCATCATTTTCCCTTGTCCTGATTTAATCTCACGTTGTTTTGTTCATCACGGCCCCTAAACATACAAAATACGCTGCTGATGTTGCCAGTGAGAGGCCACGCGGAGGGATTGAGCTGGAAAAGAAGTTGAAAGGGATGAAGGACCACGAAGGTGGGAATCAGTGGTGGTCCGTGCTCGCCACTCAGGCGCGTCCCTTTCCGCCACAGCTGTGATCTTGGAGAATAAGGACAGTCTGCCCCACTGAAGCCACGAGGCTAACGCAGACTTGGGAAGGGCCTGTCTCAGACGGGGAGAGATGTCTAATGAACAGATTGAAGACCAGACAAAAGTGTGCCCCATTCAGCACTGTGATGATCACGGCCAAAGCAAAAAGTTCATTTGTGATGCCAAAACGAAAGGCTGGCCCCGACCGTGGCGTTGACTGCACCGCCAGCTCTGCGTGGCGTGAAGGGTTCAAGGACCACATTCACTCCCGGAGGCCCGAGTGAGTGGCGAGTCTGCGTGTGCCGGCGTGAGGGCAGCTGAGAATGCTGGGAAACTCCGGGTGCACTGAGTGGGGAGGAGAACCCCCTGCCAGAGAAAGCACTCAGTGTGGATGAAACCTCCAGCTCTGGAAGCGGACGCCTGGGAGGACTTCGTCCGTAAGGAGGCTGAGTCAACGCCAGGCCTCAGGGCTTTGAAGGGCAGGATACGGTCTTGCTTGGGGGCAGTGTTGCAGGCTGCAAAGTGATACCGTCTGTGACCGGGCACAGTGAGAAGCCAGGGCCAGCGAGCACATCAGGACGCGCACGCTGCCAGTGGACCGCAGCGGCTGTGAGAAGCCACGGTCACCTGCCTCTGCTTCCAGTATGTGCCCCTGAGTTGCTATGCAGCCAAATAAAAGGAGGATGACCAGGAACATTATCAATAAGAAAATTCTTGAAAGGTTTTTTTTTGGTGATTTTTGTATCATTATTAATATACTTTGATTAAGTATGACTGACTTTATATAAATTTATGCCTTATAGCCGTCTCCTGTAAGTTGATCAGTTGATTTTCTGTGTGTGTGTGTGTGTGTGTGTGTGTGTATAGCAAAAGCTTAGCAATAAAGGAAGCATGTCACTGTGTTATAAAATCTTTTTCTGTTCTAGGTTTTCATCTTCTGGCCTTAGGGAAATGGCAAAATTTTTATATTATTAATGCTTAGAACATACATTCAAGGTTTGCCTTTTTCTTTTGCAGGATGAAGTGGCACACACTCTAACAGAAAGCAGAGTATTAAAGAACACTAGACATCCCTTTTTAACAGTAAGTGAAGAGGGGACAGATGTTATAATCATAACATTTTCAATTTATGGGAGTTATACAGAACAAAGCGAAGAAAAATAACATTTTAAAGAACATTAATTTAGTATACCATTTTCTGTGTGGAGAGACTGTAAGTCCAATTTCTTCAAAATTATCCAAATGTATGGATTAAATTTACAGTATTGCATGCATTTGTAATCCCTCCAACTGTGTACCTACGACTTTGAGATTTTTTTCCGCCCATGAATTTCACTACCTTTAATAAAGTATTTCATACAGCAAATAAATCGCCTATGGCATTTTAAAGAGATCACTGAGAAAATGGTGGACTTAAAAAGGTTCTACTCAAAAGATGAGTAGTAAGTGTCTTTATATTTCTTTTGTTTATTGGCTTCTAATAAATGTATAAATGATCAGGCAGCATTGTCTTCACATATGCAAGGCAGAAATCTTCACTGAATCCTTTTTTGGTAAAATTGAGATTTTAGTTATACAGTACTCTTTCAAATACTGGAATACTGTAGTAAATTAAAGTTAAGATAAGCTAAGTCATGATGTTTCTTCACTAGGCAAAGTATAAATGGACTTATTTATTTGTTATGAAACAAACTTGATATTTTTAGTCCTTTTCCTAAAATGCTTATAACAGAGGCATAATTTGCAAAGTGTCTATATTTCTGGTTCCAATGAAGTATATTAAGATAAAAGTAACAGCTTGACTTTAAAAAGGAGGAGCCTCTTAAAGATTTAGGATTACCTAAAGTAGGAATTTTCAAAGGTACCATCAGATATCTAAACTTACTGTGTTTCATTGTTGTGTTTCCTATCTAGTGTATTAAGATAGTTCTTAAGTTCTCATATTTTTATAGCCTGTAAAATTACATGAACGAACCCCATTACATTGGGTCATGTTATATAACCCATATGCAAAAAGTTACGCTCTAACTATATTAGATCCCCAAATGTAACTATACCTATATTCCTTAGACTTCCAGTAATTTGTTACCCTCACTTTAAGGTCACATGGTTAAGAACTTTGGGGACCAGTACAATATGAAAGAGATGACCCCATAGATTGAGACATGCTTATCACAATTTCTAAGTTAATTTTTACTTAAAATTTTCCTTTTTCCCTAACAATACCCATTGCTAATCTAAACATAGTTTGTTTTATGTTTCTCATAAACTCTGCTTAAGCACTCTTAAGGAGTAAGGAGACTCATAAGGAAGAATAACAATTCATTTCCTTTGTCATGCTTACTGTGTCTACGTGTTCGGTTTGGTACCGTTATAACAATGTAAGATTATAATATAACATTTTCTCTTTTTCATTTCAAGTCCTTGAAATATTCCTTCCAGACGAAAGACCGTTTGTGTTTTGTGATGGAATATGTTAATGGAGGAGAGGTGAGTGGCCAAATAAATTCAGCCCTTACATCTGCATGATAATTTTGTCAATGACTTTAAAATACTATTTAAAATGTAAATTATAATATCACAGTTTTTTACTTCTTGGGAGGAATATGTGTAGCTCTTTCTATTATTGAGTGGCTGGGAGCTGAATAATTCCTAATGATAATGATCGTTTACCTTTTAATAAGTACTTTCATATTTTGGTAAATGTAATCATATTTTCCTTTTTTCTGTGTTTTCCAACTGTAAAAATTTTTAACAAAAGTAAAATCACGAAATCACGTTATTTAATTTTGAAGATAAAAAGTATAGGATTTATTATGCTTTACAAAGTTCTTTCTCAAGTTTTTGTGAAACTTATAAAAAATTATTTTACTCATTTTAAACGCAGTTGAACAGTAGTCCACAGGCACATGGTGACTGAGTTTTCTCTTCTTCTGCATAGTAGTTAGAGTAACCTTGACTATGGAAGACTTTCAAAGGGTCTTGCAGTTTTAAAGAGCAATTCATTAATTTTAGTCGTGTATTTCACCTATTCCTTTCTCCTTCTGATTTTGACCAAAATCAATGTGAGGGAAAAATAAAATTTACTAGAATAGTTAATTGGAAATATTTTATATTGTGGGCTTTCTGAAGTAAATTTAAATTTAATAAATAGGGGCTTGTGTTTCAGGGACTTTAACAGTCTTGTTTTCCAAAAGAAATTCAATATCCCTGTAGAATATTTTCTCCTATAACATTATCTGACTTGTAGGAGTTAGTTCATTGCAAAAGTTCATTTATTCATTTGGCAAGCACATTTTCAGTGCCTGGGTAGTATGGGCTTATGATAATGTCTTAAGACATCATCCTTGTATATGTAATGTCCCAATTTTTTATTCTTTTAGGTTATCAAATATACTTACACATTTTAAGTGCACTTTCTAAATATAAATAGTTATTTACTTGGTGGAACTTAATGGGATTATTTCAATTCTTAATGTACCACTTCTGGGAAGAAATCTGTTAGGAAATCTACAGTGATTTATTACATTTGGGTTTGCTTTAGGTTCACCAGGCCATTCATTCTGCCCTGGGATTCTTCCTAGAAATACAGAAAACTCAATTGCGGTAGAAAAAATACCAAACAGAGTACTTCAGTTTTCTAAATAGAGAGAAGTAAGGGAAGCTATAAACACACACAAACAATCCACAGCAACACCTATAGATGCATCCAGTGGGGAATATCTGTGTCATATCTAGAGGGTGTGAGCAGAATACTATCCTGTTGAAGAGTAAGCTCTGGTAAATTGTTGGTGCTTACCCCAACGACAGCATCCGCAGATCTCTTTTTCTGCAACGCTTGTCCTCAGAAAGGCTTGTTTTGTGGGCCCTTTGAAGAAGTAATTACAGCTAGCCTGGATTTTACTCCACTCGTACTTACTCTCTGTTGATTTTTAATTGGCAGTAACATCCTTTAAGTCCGTGTGCTGAACTGTTGGTCTTGGAATATAAATACAGCCGTTGAGACATTTCTTTTCTTATCCTTTCTTCACATGTTGTGAATACATGGGCTTCTTTCAGCCTAATATACTGCATAGGAGTTTAGCATGATGGTGGCCAAACCCGGTATTATCACTGTGTTTGCCAGTACTGTTCAAAGAACTAAATAATCTTGATGTAAGTGGATTTTGAATAAACAGTCTTTACGAAAAATCAACAGAGGAGGCTTATAGGCCTATCAGTATAATGGAGTCCCATCCTCATCACATTTAACTTATAAATAAATTAAAAGAAATAGGCTCAGCAAAAGACAGGGTGGATGGTGGGTAAGTAGATGGATAGATAGGTATCGCATGGTGATTCTGCCGTCCTTCTTGATGAGTGTGCCCAGAGAGTGACCTCAAGGTGAGAGATATAAATTTGCTCTTCTTTTACTCCATGTCGGTTCCTATTTGCCATCCTTAGAATTGCATGAGATGTAAACTCAGGTGCTTAAAAATGTAAAGTTTTTTTAAAAAAACATGGTCATTAAGTACATCATTGTCACACTTATTCATCTAAAGAAACCATATTATTTCAATTATGGAGGAAAAACTGTGCTGGGCGTAACCATATGGAGACAGAATGTTGGTCTCTAGTGTGGTGTTTCCCTAGGGAACTTTCAGGGGCAATTTTGATTATATTAGATCATTTATGTGTAAACGTTAGAATCCACTACAGTATAGTTCATCTGCCTATTAAACATGTAATGGGCCACTACTATGGGCTGGACCTCAGAGGAAACATGGTACTACCCTTTAGACGATGAGTAGGGACTGCCGAGAAGTAGGGAAAAAAACCTAATGTATTACATAGTTTATTTTAATTGGGGAGATAGGCAAGAGAGTGTGTGTCTGTGTTAGAGTGTCATTATCACCGTGATGACACTGGGTGCCATGAGATACCAAGAAGAGGCTCTTGAATCAAACAATCCAGAAGAAGAGAACAAGGAAGGAAGAGGAGGATGCTGAGGAAGGAAGCCCTTCTTAAATGGTTGCTAAGCGAAGACTTAGTTGTAAATAGATCAAAGTCAAAAAGGATGAGGAGGAGGACGTAGCTGCACAGAGGCAATAGAACGTGTAGATGGGCGGGAGCGTCAAGTTCTGCCCCCACTGCCCAGATCCCGCGCAGTCTGGATGCCACATGAGGTCCTGCAGGGGAAAGCCAGGAGGGCTAGTAGTCGAGGGCACACTGGGACAGGTCTACTCTCCCCAAGGCAGTGGAGCATCACTTAAGGACTTCTGTAAGAAAGTGTTGCAGAAAGAATACTCTGTAGCAGCATGAAGCTTGGGTCACAGAAGACAAAATTGGAAGCCGAGAAACTACTTGGGAGGCTCCTGCAAGTTAGAAAGTTTTCTGTGGTCCAGTTGCAAAAACAGTAAGGTCATTAACTGAGACAATATTAGCGAGAAGGAATCAAGTTCTACTGATGCTTAGGTACTAGAGTTTCCAGGGTTGAATGACTAAACAGGGTTTAATAACATCATAGAGTTTGCTGTTTGCTGCTGAAGGACCTGTGTGGGCACATCCAGAGAGACAGGAAATGCAAGAAAGGAGTGATTCTGCGGGGATCGTGCTAGATTTGAGGTTCCCAGGAGAAACACTGGAGAGAGAGAAGTGAAGAAATGTCAGTGTGAGAGAAGTATGTAGAATTAGAACATTATTGGTCAAGAGCTGTCCCTGGAAATACCGATGTCAGACACGTGGTCTGGAGAGGAGCTGGGGAGGGTCCTGGACAGGAGCCCGCTGAGCGCAGTATATTAACTGTAATGGCAGTTCTTGCAGAGTAGCACGGAAGAATCTACTGGTGCGCACGTGGAGCACCAGGGGCTGTTCCTTTCTCCCGGGGCAATCCAAGGTGTGCGTGCACCTGGGCTGAAGTACACACTGTACGAGGAGCGGTGTTGAGCTCCACAGAACAAGGTTATGAAAGTGAGTTCAGAGCAGCCTTAGGTGGGCAGTGAACCAGCATTTGTGGAAATAATTTAAAAAGCACCCTAGTAATCACAGTGCTGCTAACACGGCCAAGCCACTCTCTTTTTGTAGCTCAGGCGTCATCAAATTCACATAAGCAGAAACGTGTTCTGGGGGAAAATGAAACCGGAAGGCTGACTGAAGTGTTGTCGCTGTTGAGTCGGGTTTACGTCTCCACTTTGGACTGTCCTCCACCATCTCACTCGTAGCTGTATTTGCCGTCGGCCCATAAACCAGGCCTCTGTGCTTCTCTCTCAAGGCTGAAACTGCCTGGAAGTTAACATATTCATTAGGGGGGTAAAGGAAAATCATTATGTAGAAATGTTACTATCTGATACCTCACATTTTTTATGTCCTTTATATGGGCACAAATGAACACTTATTTACTATTCTTGTCCATATTTAGCTCATTTTACACTATATATCAATTTATTTGGTAAAAATTCATTTTATTTTTTTGCATATGACTTTCAGTTCCATGCCAATCTTGGGATCCTTTCATACTTATTTCAGATTCTCATTATTTGGCTGGCATTTTGTCTTCAGTGAACCAAAATCATCTCATTTTAAATTTACATAAGGCAGAAGTGCTGGCAGTCAGCATTCTAGTTCTAGTTACTAATTTATGGAGGTGTGATTTGGGTGATTTTTGAATTAAAAGTATCATTTTATATTCATAGTGATGATTTTTTATATTTTACTAAATTCATAGATATATAAATATCTTTATTGTCTGGAGTCTGACAAGCTAATTTCTTTGCTAACTATTTTAGTTATTATACTACATATGTTATGTCAGAATTCTATTACTTTTACCCAAAGCTTTTTAAAAAAATTCCCAAAGGCAAAAGAAACTTGGGAACATTTTTAATGTATATTTTCATAATATTTCAAGGCTAATTGCCTAAAATAAATCGTTAAACGAATATATCAATGCATGAAAAGTAATAATACAAAGACACAAGTAGCCTCAACATCCACGATGCTGATTTTCATATGTAGGATCTCAAATTAAGGTGACAGGAACTGCAGGAACTCACAAGGCATTGGTCTGTTTCCGTTATTCCTTTCCATGTGTTTATGGCACAGCACGGAAATCTCAGGGTAGTCAGACTTCTCACATGAAGATCATATGACCCCAGAGTGGGCATTTCAAGAGAATGAAGGAGGAAGATACAAAATAGTATAAGTGGAGACCATAAGAGAAAAGGCAGAACAGTGGAACAGAACAATATTTAAATATTAGAAACCATAATCCCAAAAGAGTTTCTAGTCATTTGTGTCCTTCACCTTTCATTTAGCAGAATACTTTTAAAACTCATCAGTGTTGTTGTTTTATATCAGTAATTTCTTTTTGTGCCTTTAGTTCATTATATTCATATATCTTAAAGTGTGTATACAATCACTAGTAGATAGATGTTTGGGTTCTTTGATGTTTGAGGTTATTAAAAAAAACTGTGACTATACCAGTATAAACCTTTGAACATGTATCAGTTATC